ATTCCCCAGCCCGCCATGCTCGCTGGGGGATTCTGGGAGTTGCAGTCCACTCATCTTAAAGAGGCCAAGATTGGACAACACTGGTCTACACACACGCACGCTCTTCACTGCAGCCTCCTGTATTGCCAAGCACTGGCCAGGTGCAAGACAAGTGGTTCTCTTAGTTCTTTTAGACCCAGAAATAATGAACACACCAACAGGTGAGGAGATTTTAGGCATTGTTGTTAACTCTAGCAAACAGATTTAAACAGGAATATAAGATAAACAGCAATACAAAAGCTAGTATAAAAGCATAACATACCAAGCAAGATGATAAAAACCCTTCTACTACTATCGGGAGCTACCATAAGGCAACAGCGGAAAGACCCCAAGATGGCTAGATAACACAGCTCCTGGTACCAAGGCCTGGTCCATGCTCAAAGTCCAAGAGGTAATGGCAGGTCCATGCTCAAAGTCCAAGAGGTAATGGCAGGATCTTTTATCCCTATCTTAAACTAAAACCTCATGACCTATTTCCATGGTACTGAGGCTGCGGACCCGACCTTGACCAGATAGTTCCCAGGGCCTGAGAATTATACAGATAAGCTAGTGCTTAATCTAAACAATCCTGAGAGTTTTCTCTTCTCCTTCCCTCCCCCACTTCTAAGTAAAAGTGAAAAACGAGCCAGCTAAACATGATTATGCCTCAGAGTGAACTTTCTTAACAGGTGCAGGAGAAATCCAAACATGTTGCCTTACTCCTCAAAATAACAGTGGTCTTTCACTTTACCACTACACCTACTAACGGGTGCTGCTCATGTGAAAAGCTCTTTTTTTGCAAAACTACAATGATGTGCCATCATTGTAGCTTTAGTAGGAATTGAAGACTGTAAGAAGAATGGCATGTTGACAACCAGGCAGCTCTCATTTTGGGAGAAAACAACTGAGAAGACATAGCAATTAAAGTTAAACATAACCATCTCTCTGTTTCTTTTGATGAAAGCATGAGGTGGTTTAGCTGGGGCTCCGGTTTACATCTCTCTAAATCTGAGAGACAAGAACATTCAAAGGATGTTTCAATGTAATCCACATTAATACAAAAAAAGAAAGTCTTAATCACATACATGCCGACCAGAATTGTGCTGACAATGACTAACTAAAAACAGGATCTTGGGGTTATTGTTGGTAGTTTGGTGAAAAGAACAAATCCATTCTTGGTCTATAATTAAAAAAGGGCAGTTGATTATAAATTAATTAAATAAAATAAATGTCATATTGGCATATTGGGGATCTTTGAAGAGGAAGTCAAGTAAAAACGCCAATAATCAAAATGTCCTGATACAAATCTATAGTACAGCAACACTCAAAACATTATGGACATTTTTAATCACTGTGCCTGAATATGTATATTGTAGAGTTATCATTTACTTCTACAGTAATGAATTTTTCAACGTATTTTTTGTTTGTGGTTCTGGTCTGTGACCGTAATAAAGATGATTCTGATTCTTCTACAGTAGTTCTCTGAAAAGAGAGGGAAAGACAAGCTGAAGAGAGTAGAGTAACTGTCCCATGAGGAAAAGCTACTATGCTTGAGGCTTTTTATCATACTGGGGAGAAAAAAAAATGCTCTGACAGCATATATAAAAGTACAGTATATGTGGTGCTGGGAAATGGAATACATCATGGAAGTTATACAACGGCTGATAATATGACTTTTGTTAGGTCCATTAAAAGGTTTAAATGCAGTATGCCCTTTTTTTGTTGAAAATATGAATGAGACTAGTGTTGCGTTTGTTCAGCTAATAGGTCTTTCATAGCAGCTGCAACAAAATAATGTACTAGATAGGCCTAGGATCACAGGTTCTATGCAGAAGATGATATTTTTCAGTTCATGAAGTTGGCTAAAGTTTTGAGCAATGTCTGCCATTGTCTGCAATTAAACACAGCCTCTAGTTAATCTTCATATATGCAGTCACAGGATGCATCTAAAAAGAACTTCTTTTTACAGGTTTACAGATGCAGATTGTATTGAATAGTCTTGTAAATATATCTCACTAAACAGGTCGTTAACCACTTTTGCATCTTTTCAAATCAAACCCATGACACATACCTGGCCTATCCTGGCAATAACTGCATTGTTCTTAGGAGACCTATTTCCCCATATGGTTTGTCCAGTGGGGATCTTCGGAAACAGTGGACAAGCTTAAATGTTACTGCAATCCTTTCCATTAACCAGTCACAAACTACCTTGTTTTAAGGTTAATCTATATGTGTGACCTAGCTATGAGAAATAAGCAATATGGAAAAATTGGAAGAATTATGTGTGTGACAATTTCGGTGACAATTTACAGATATGTCTTCTGGTCAGTAATGTCTTGTGATTGGCTGTGGCCACCATAACAACCATTTTGTGGAAAAAGAAGCCCCTCCATGGAAGTCATTTTGTGAGAGCATGCATTCTATCTTTTCAAAATTGCAGATATACCTACTGTCACAAAATGTTTAATCACCTTACATTAGACCTCGCTGATAAAGAAGCTTGTTCCAGAGTGGATCCTACTGAACTCATTTGGAATCACTCTGTTATGTGAAATAATTTCAAAAATGTTAATTATTTGTAGTGGAGATGGGCAAATATTTTCACTGGAACTGCACTGTATTTTTAAAATATTTTTTAAGCCTCTGAGGGCCTAACATTTGTATTATCCTTCCAGAGGCTAAGAAATTTTTAAAATTTATAATAGACACATTAGTATATTTTTGAGGCAAGACTCTTTTTTTAAAACAAATGTTGCCAAAAATTACAAATTCTGCTGCCATAATTCAGTAGTTTTATCTAAGGGTCTTAAAGGAAACTGAGTACCCTTATACAGCCTACAGTACACAGATTGCATACCCTGAATTTTTGCCATTATTGAATTGCGATTCTCTGTGTTTTGAAACCTGAAATTTGTCACAAATGAAGTTTGAGGCATCCCCTAAGGTTGAAAAATACATAATTTGTCAAATACCATTACCTAGCTTTTTCCCCTCAACTCTTCACACAATTTAAAACATCATAAAATGTCTCCATTTTGTACAGATTCATTACATGATTGTATTGTGATTCTAATGTGCTAATATTAGCTCTGCTCAGCCTCCATGGAGATTACAAATCTTAATTTTTACTAACTGGAGTAATGTAAGAGCTACATATGTGCCCATTATTCCTTGCCTTTAATCATTTTCTCTTTCTTTTCAGCTTCTTAATTAAGTGAATTCAAGTGAGATTTGCATAAGGCTAATGTTTACTGCGAAGATAAGCATCGACTGTAGTACCTGTGTACAAACATTTCATTTTTTTCAAGAGTCTTTCCATTTCAATCATCTGCTTCCTGTGATTACTTGCAACACTTGTGTGAAGAAGACAATTTTGTTTTTGTACCTTATTACTAAATGCTTCATCTAATTTATAATGCATAGCAAACATTGGATATCTAAATAGGAAATGTGATAATCAAGAATTAAAATGTACAGCGCTTGGTGTTCTTCACTTTCAATAAAGTTAATTTTACTGGAAAAGACTTTCTGTTTTTGTTGCTCTGCTTTAGTTAGACAGACTTTGGTTGGGAAAAAAAGAAAGTTAATATTTTCCAAAGTTTGAAAGGAGTCATGTGGCTTTGATTAATTAAATATTTAGTAACAGCAAACCAGATTTGCCTAATAAGGCACACAAAAACTGGGTAAACATTGAAAGCTATGTCTTTTAATTTCCATTGTCCTTTATACAATTACTAATTTCAGAATTATTATTTTAAGATCAGAGAGATTGATATTTTTCAAAACTAAAGTGTAAGGGGTACATATACAAGCAAGGGATATGTTGGCTAGGCCCCCAAACCCTCTGCCCACAACCAACTAGATTATATATATATATATATATATATATCAATGTATCACATTTATATAGCTGCCCATCTCACACAAAGCGACTCTGGGTGGCATACAAATGTTGCCTTTTTGTTCCAGAAACCTCCAAGTCATTGGTTTACAAGGGAGGAGGAAAGTGGCAATCCCCTTTGCTGATCTGGCAAGGAGGTGTGTTTGAATGGCTGGATACCTTCACAGAATTAGCCACACTACTTAATTAAGAATTCTAAATATTATTACAATGGACATAACACAGGCTGAGGAATAGGTTGGCAGCCAATGATGTATTATAATTTTGGAACATCTGCACATTCCTCGTTTATCAAGAAGAAAAGGAGCCACCTTTCCACAGCTTCAGTAGGTGGTTAGCAATACAGTTGAGGAATACTAGCCCGAATGAACATAAATTGGAATGCTAATTGGTGGAGACCTAGAGGCTGATTTTGCTATTTCTCATACAAAATACTTTTTTTTTTTCAATCTTGAGCATCATGTTAATATTCATGTTAATGTTCACCTACTAAAGAAGTGGCAGGAAGTTTACTCAATGACTTGATGGAGTTGACATTTCATATTCAGTGACTTGATGAAGCTGACATTTCATACTCAGAAGTTAAACAGTGGTAGTGAAATCTATGAAGTCTGGTCATGTAGACCATTCTGCACAAGAACAAGAGTAATTGGGTGAACTACTGAAGCTTGTTTCATCAGCTCACCTTCCTACTGAATGTGGGAGAGTAGAGAGGGAAGTGATGGTGCTGAAACAAATATGTACAGATGTTATACCGAGGTGAAAAACTGCAATTTTAGTGATAAATTAGACTAACCAAATAATTTAGCTTCATTGTTGGATTAATCATTTTTTAAATTTTTTTTAATAAAGATGTCATGTTTTATTAGAAAGTTGCCTACACATGCAGCCTAAAATAGTAATCGCAACCATAAAAGACTTGTGTGAATACATGGGTGTGTTCCTACCACTGTTAAAAATGAAATATGTACCCTTACTTCAACTCTAACTAGTGGTAAAATGTTACTTACTAATCCAATTTATAATCTATAGAAGTTGGACAAGTCTTTCTCTCCTCTTTTTATTTCCTTATTTAGAGTCCTGTCTATTTTTCAATTATTTTCTGCCTTTCCAGCACATTGCAAGATTATCAGCTGCCAACATACTGGTATTTATTTAGACTACCTTGAAATTAAAGGAACATGGTTTATTGGCTTTAACATCTTTTCATATTTTGCCAGAACACTGCAAACAGAATTTGTAATGTTATGGTTTTGTGGAAAGCTTTAAAATATTTGGTGTGTTCATTCTGCATATTCTAGAGAAGAAAAAGCTTCCGGATAAAATTTTGTTAAAGACAATATCACATCACATACAATAACTGAGATCTATTCCAGCCAGAAGTGCACTAACTAACCTGTTTCAGGCTCTTAAAAAATACTGAAGTGGAATTAGAATTTGTATCTGTCTATCAAAGACTCAGCATGTTCCTGATAACATCAGAAAGTGTCAGGATTTAATAGCATCCAATTAATGTTTTCTGTTGTCTCCTTATATTTGCATCCATTGTGAGGGTTGGTGGAAGCAGAATATTTTGGAAAGTATAGAGACAGCAGTATAAAACCGATTCAACAGAGATTATGAACTTTAGAATATCTCATCCAAAAACATGTTTCAAAAATATAGCATTAAAAATAACATTAGCATTTTGATCCTTAATTTTTAATTGAGTTAACTAAACAGTACATTTCCTCAATGTACATTGCTACAAAGTTCAAAGTCATTTCAAAAAAACTGAATATAATTGATCTGAAGTGGAAGACCTCTAAAAAATTAATAAATAGAAATCAAGAAACATTTATTCAGTTTGAAAGAATGAACTTAGTTTCAACAAAATACTGCTTTTAGGTCATTCTTTGGATTTGCATCGCACACATAATAAAGGTTTCAGTTTTAAAAAAGGAGTAGTGGTCAAATTTAGTCGCTTTGTTTTAAAAAATGATATCTTTATAATGTTATACCTTGGGCTCAGCTTGATTGTTTGGTTGACATCTTCTGCAATAGTGACAAATATTTCCTTTTCTGGATATGTGATTTTATGGCAGCCAATGGGACAGAAGCAGTCCTGTTTTTTTTTAACAAAGTATGGCTACGGGGCTGAAGCCGTGTGAAACATCCATTCAGAGGAAAAACTCACCCAATGGTAAGAAAATGTACCAGATCAAGCTTTCAGGAGAGATCTGGGTAGATGCTTGATCCCTAAAAAGACACTCCAAGAAAACACTATTTCCAACTCTTACTATAAAAGCTCCATTCAAAATGTGCAGGGCATGGATGTCAATGAATACCTTCTATAATTTGATAGAAAAGAAAAACTAGATTACTTCTATCTCTCTGGACACTCTTTATGCATTCAGTGTTTCAATAGACTGTCAGTCTTTTACATTAATGTTTATCTGAAGCCAGTGGTACAAAGTCTCTAAAGATTAAATTGAAAAAAGCTAATATATAATAAAAGAGGAAAACCGCTGGAGAGGCCAGTGTTTTTGTTGCAGAAAACTGATAGTATTCACAAGGAATGAACTGTGTAATCTTTGCTTTTATACTCAAAAAGATCTAAGCTTTATCAATCCTTAAAACTATTATATTTCCCATGCAGATTGTAACTAGAACAAATGTGCAGGATGCACCTAACCATAAGGAACTGGATTTCTTAATAATAGCAATTCTATCAAAATTATTTGCCTTTCAAATTGGGTGACATTTCTACTAAAGATTAATTTATTTTCAAGCCAAAGTTCAGAGACCCATGGATAAGGGAATTTTCTTGGAATTAAATATGTTTGAGAGATTCACAATATTCAATATATCCTGTTCCCAAGTAAGTAAAAAAGAAGAAAACAAGGCAGGACAATATGCAAAAAGTCCCCTATATCTACCTATATTGAGATAAGCATTGTGGGAACTGTAGTCCCAACACATCTGGAAAGAGCCAGGCTGGGGAAGGATGAATGAAGCAAAATACAATAGTGCCGAGAATTATCAGCAAAATCTGCTTAGTTACTGCAGCTGAACTGCCATTGGCACAGCAAAATGAAAGTAATGTTTAACAAATATGAAATCTGATTCATGAGATTTAATATCAAATGAAGAAAATAGCTAAATGGAAGGGGGAAAAAAACATTTTCTGCACTCGAGTATTCATAAGTACAGAGTTCACTCATCACTGTTATAAATGGGAAGGAGTCTGGCTGAATCCACAGCATGCTTTGGATCCAGAAGGTCACAGAGTCAATCCCCCACCCCACCAGTAGCTATAAGTGAGGTAGGACTGGAGAACTGAGCTACAGAATGAGCTACTGGTCTGACTCAGTAGGAAAGTTCACTTTGTTTTTTACTTAAGCTTGACATTCATGGAATCCTGAATTCTGCCCGAATCATTTAAAACATAGTTTTCTCCTTGAGAAAGTGATGTGGTTTTGTCTACTTTTGTGCAGAATAGAATAATTTCCATAAACATTCTTTTTAAGGAACAAGAAATATGACTTTACTTAGTAAAAAATCTCTAGCTTCGAAGAGCTCTGCCACTTCTACTTCAAAAACATCTTGGTTCCTCCCAGTGGCCTAGCATGAACACTCCTTCTACAATAGCTTTAGGTCAGTTTCTTTCACTTAAAAAATACCAGAGCCCCCTGCTAGAGGAGGAAGGCAGCGAGTCCCATCCGAACCACTGTAGTATGTGCACGTGTGGGGAGATGGTAGTTTTGAAGCAAGAAATCCAAACTTTACCTAATTTATACAAAATAAAACCAAGGGGAAAAAACCAGCCGCAGCCATGAGCTCAAAGTCCTGCCCGTTTCTATTGTGTGTTGCAATGCTTCGATTCCATGGTTGTGGCTTCCATCTTGACCTTTTGACCACCTGCCTTTGGGCACTTCTGGCTAAGGTGCTGGATTAGTGGAAGACTGATTCTAGTCCTGCCTTAGGCATGGAAGCTGTCTGGGTAAATTTGAGTCAATTACTCTCTCTTAGCTCAACCACTTCACAGGGTAGTTGTGGGACAAAATAGGAGAAGGAAGTAATATATGCCATCTTGAGTTGCGCAAAATAAAGGTGGGCTGTAAATCTATCAAGTAAACAAATACGTTTACTTAAATAAGGCTTCTATAGGACTTTGTCTAAATCATGGACAGTTGATCCTCAAATAAATATTTTATGAGACAGAGGAAAATTGCCTAACTGGAGGGAGTTAACTCAGTTTGGAATCCACACAACATCCTTAACTACTTCAGACCCAGTTAACTATGTTGTCTGATCAGGACATGTCTTTCTGTGACAAATTACCATGGTTTGATTAAACCACTGCTTTCAGAAGTCACACATCACCATGAAGCCATTGACAATGGTTGAATATAATCAACACACTATGCCAAACTCATGGTTTAGTATGATATGTAAACTCAGATACTGCATAGATGTAGCTACATATAGATAAAATAAGAGGACCCTTCATTGCTTCTGATTATGTATAATAGGACTGAAATCTGTATACTCTGGGACAAACAACATGAGTCCTATTTTTGAATAAGCATGCAAAGGGTTGCTTTATTAATATCTTAATCTCTAAGGCACTC